TCCATTCTTTGGTGCTCAGCCTTCCTTATGGTCCAACTTTCACAACCATCCATTGCAACTGGGAAAACCACAGCCTTGACTTTACACACTTTTGATGTTTTGCTTTTTAGTAGGCTGTCTAGATTTGCCAAGAATCTCCATAGACACTTATAAATCCCACTGACCCCTTTTCTCCTTTTCCCTCCCCAGCTAATAGCCTTAGGGTTACCAGACCAGGAAGAAGTTGAATGAGGAAAGGAGCTTATCTTCACCAGTGTTGCTTAATACGGAGAAAAGTGATTGGGACGTGAGAGGAAAAACTTAGTCACTCTCATGATTGCCTCCAATACGGGGGGATGATGGTTCATGGAATCTTTTTGAAGACCAGCAACTGCAGCACCAGATGTCGTGGGGCAAGGACAGGATCCGCAATATCTGTTTTAATCCTGCTCAACATGAGCAAGAGATGAAAGAGCCACGCAGCTCTTATTATCGCAGGGACCCGAAGCCTTCTGGTGGAATGAAGCTACTTATTTTGCAAATTTGGCTTCTGGATCTAAGTTAAGCACGCAACCCATCCTTGCTTCTTCAGCCTGGAGGAGAACTGAAGGCTGCCTTGAGCCAGGAATGTGAAGACAAACATTGGGTTGCCACAATCTCCTTTTCCTGCAGAGGGGTCTCAAGGGTGGGGCTCCGAAAAGGCAAGATGGCTATGCCTTCTTGACTTTTTGTGAAGTCCCCCCCCCTCCACCGGGACATTGCTAGAATGGCTCATCAACTGCGGCTTGCTTTCTAGCTCCTTGGTGTCACAGTCTTGAGATGCTTTTTTCTTTTTAATTGAACAGATCTCTCGCCCCCTTTCCTCGGGAGGTTTGGTCCAAGTGTAAATAGAAAATGGCACAATGGGTTTAGACAAAGAAGGTGTAGTAGGGATGATGGACCTGATTTTGAAAGGGATTAAAACCTAAAGAGACAAAATTAGCTTAAGTCACAACAATTGATTTCGATGCACATAATCAAGAGAACAATAAAACAAGTGATTTCCCTTCTTCTCCGCCTTTTCTTGTTTACCGGTAGTTGCTCTGGGAAGTGAGCTCTGTTCCTTCCTTCTTTCCTTGGCATCTTAAAATCTAGCAAACAAGTCTGGAATAACAATAGCAATAGTACTTATACTTATATTCCACTTCACAGTGCTTTTACAGCCCTCTCCAAGCGGTTTACAGCCTATTACCCCCAACAATCTGGGTCCTCACTTTACGCACCTCGGAAGGATGGACGGCTGAGTCAACCTTGAGCCAGTTAGAATCGAACTGCTGGCAATGGGCAGAATTAGCCTGCAGTACTGCATTCTGACCGTTGCACCACGAGAAAGGAGAATGAGAAAGGGAATGATGGAGGGAGGGAGGAAGGAAGGGATGACGGAAGGAAGGAATAGCAATAGCACTTAGACTTATGTACCACTTCGCAGTGCTTTTACAATCCTCTCTAAGCTGTTTACAGAGTCAGCCTATTGCTCCCAACAATCTGGGTCCTCATTTTACCCACCTCAGAAGGATGGACAGCTGAGTCAACCTTGAGCCAGTTAGAATTGAACTGCTGGCAGTGGGCAGAATTAGTCTGCAGTACTGCATTCTGACTGTTGCGCCATGAGAAAGGAGAATGAGAAAGGGAATGAGGGAGGGAGGGAGGGAGGGAGGGAGGAAGGGATGACGGAAAGAAGGAATAGCAGTTAGACTTATATACCACTTCACAGTGCTTTTACAACCCTCTCTAAGCTTATTGCCCCCAACAATCTGGGTCCTCATTTTACCCACCTCAGAAGGATGGAAGGCTGATCATGGTGATCATCTTTTCAGAGTCTCTCAAGAGACCAAGATGGCTTTCTTAGTTTTGAATTAAAACTGTTGTCTTAGTAATTAGGTTTTCAAAGAATCACACATTACCGTATTTTTTGGAGTATAAGACACACTTCCCACCCCCTAAAAGAGGGTGAAACTTTGGGTGTGTCTTATACACCAAATGTAGCCAAATACATGAGGCACAGAAGAGGCAATGGTCTGTGGCAATCCCTGAAGCCTGGAACAGCTGGTTGGGGGTATTCCGAGAGGCCGATCCACCCGCCAATCAGCTGCTCATGCTGAATCAGGCTGCAATAATGTGCTGAAGCTGACTGGCTGTTTGCTATATTCTGCAAGGACATGTCAGAGTTTGCAACAGCAATCACTTCCAGAAAGCACACACAAGTAAACTGATTCAGCAGGATTCAATAACTTCTCTTTATATATAATATAACACATTAAGTAAATACACAATACCAAAAGCAGGTTTTAACAACATGGGAGTTCACAGTTGATAGGGCTTTTGGTTGTGACAGGTAGAGGAAAAAGTATGCCACGCTAGGAGGAGACTCTCTGGTGGGGGAACTGAACCGACTCTATGGTGGGTGTCAGCTCCAGAATTGAACAAGGGGCTTCTGGTTAGGACCTTTCTGGCTCCAGGTGTTTTCGTTTCTGTGGGAAACGGGTCCAAATGGTGCTTTGAGTGTTTAAGTTTTCCAACCCCTTCCCTAGATGGCATTGTCACTTCAAACCTCCATGCTTCATCTCATTCCCATATCATGTGAAAGTACACACGAAGGGAGTCTGTTGTTATGGAGAGCATCTAACAGGAGCTGAATGCTGTGTACATTTGGAGAAGGAAGGAAGGGATACAGCAGGGGATTCTTAACAGAACAAGAGTTGGATGGGACCTTGGAGGTCTTCTAGTTCAACCCCCTGTTCAAGCAGGAGACCCTATACCATTNTTTTTTTTTTAATCCCACCAGTGCCCTGTACTTTTATTTTCCATACGGGTTAGGCTTGTGATTGAAACAAACAAGGATTTTGAAAGTAAGAGAAAGCCCAAGGCATTTAAGTGCCTTATTGACTGTTTATCCAGTAATCTTTTTTTTGTGTGTGTGGAGAAGATCTCTATGTTGTCAAAGAAGGAGTCGAAAACAACTTGATGGCATCTAGGCAATCAATCATTTCTAGTAGTGTCCTACAAAAACAACGAGTCCAAGAGCTTTGTTATTTTACTTGCTGTGTTAAGAAAATCAGCCGGTTATTTTTCTTTCTTTTTTAACAGACAATGAAGAAAATGTTATTGATGCAATTGTTGCCTTGTTACGGAAGTCAGGAGATGAGCTGGAGGAAGAGGTAACCTAAGGTGGCATGGACTCCGAAACTCTGTGTGAAAATTAACTGAAGAAACTTTCACGTCATTCCAGTGGTGGGTTCTGGGCAGTACAGTCCGGTACGGGCGTCCCCGGTGGCCGCTGGGAGCAGGGGCCACGTACCGGAAGGGTGGCTCATTGGGCCCACCCGCCTGCCCGCGTTCCTTACTGCTTTTTGAGGGAAATGGACCTATTGCGCACGGGCGCAAAACACTTGCGTGACCTCCGCCGAGGAGCAGTGGCCTGCGCATGTGTGTGCAGGTGGACGCCCAGCCCCGTCACAGCGTACCGGTTGCGACAGGATCCAGAACCCACCACTGCGTCACTCCCTTGTTTTTCTTCATTTACAATTTCACGTGTGGATTTCAGTGCTGTGCTTCTCAACAACTCCAAACTGGTAAAATACCACCTGAGGTCCTCAGGCATAAAATCATTCTAGACCAAAGGTTCGAAAACATTATCATTTGAGTGCTTGGGCATTTTGTTTTTGGTCCTTAATTTCTCATATAATCTCATCAAAATACAGAATAGAATACAGAATAACAGAGCTGGAAGGGACATTGGAGGTCTTCTAGGGCTGTCCCTGCTCAGGTAGGCGATGCTACTCCTCTCTGGAGAAATGGCTGCCAATCTCTTCTTTAAAAACTCTCATTGATGGATCACCCACAACTTCTAGAGGCAAGCCATTCCACTGATTAATTAGTTCTAGGTTGGATTTCTCCTTGATAAGTTTCCATCCATTGATCCATTCCACCAATTTCTGGAGGAATTCTTGCTGATCTTCATATAACACAATTTGGAAAAAAAACCAACCTGACCTAGAGAATTTGTTGAAGAACTTGGCTAAACAAACAAATAACAACAAACAAATAAATATTAAATTAAAAAATATAAAATAATATAATATATACATACATATATACATATACATACACAAACACACAAATGGTTGTATGTATTTTTCAGCATGACTCTAGAATGCCTTGAGCAATTTCAACCAACTTGGTACACAGATGATGTACTCTCTGGAAACAAACACTGTGGGGGCAACACGCCTAACACCTCTTGGTGTGTGTGCTCTGTTAAGATACAGTCTGTTGTGCCTTCAAATGGCTTCTACTGTACTGCTGTGAAATGGCTCCTACTGTGCAGTGCAGTGGAGTTGCCATGGTAACGGCTTCACAGTACTCCACAAGGGGGGCTCCTACTGGTAATGGGGAAAAATCCAACATTAGAAATTATGTTTGGTCTGGACATTTTCTCCCTATACATAAATACCTGGACAATGCTGGCTT